AAATTTGGCCTTAAGAGAAATACGATGGGAACATCAATGCCGCCGATACGCTGTGGTAGTGATTAGTGCGATGGCCTCACAAGCTGAAGCATATTTAGGTTCGAATCCTTTTGTGTTTTCCAGTTACCATCGTATCTCCCTGTTATTTGGTGTTTCCTCTTATTTCCTTCTGGCGGCCAAACTTGGAGCGAAAATCCTTGATGATTTTTTTCACAGAAACGATTAGCAGAAACGGGAGTCAGATTCGACGTCAATGTTTAAAACGAATGTAATGGTATACATTTCATCTCAAAAGGCCACGGACACTAAGTATCTTTCCTTTGTAAGCTGTTTGATGTGACCCAGATTTATTACGGCTCAGATAATTAATCGAAAGCTTTTCGCCCTAACGGTAAGATGAGTTGTGCTAGCACTTGTGGTATAGTGTAGACCCCAGCCAGCTTCCCATAGGTATCAACGCGACGCGCAAGCAGCGTACGCCTCTGCTGCCTTCGGCGAGCTTTCTATTTGGGGTTTATCGTTGTTTGAGGTTTATCGTTGTTTTTCCATAATTCCTCTATTCCAGGTATGGCCAATCGAGACAATGGACCCTACCTTCAACGTTAGGAGAGAGCGTTGTTTGTTCTTACGTTTTCTCTTCGCTAAAAGTTGGTGTTTTCGATTAATCTCAAGAGGTTCTTTCGTTCAAATCTCTTCCACAAAAAACGACCATCTATGGTCGATTTTGAGTGGTGCTTCTATCGTCTCTGCCTTAGAGAGGTTCCCGCTGCCTTTCGATTTTCGTTTGATCAAATGCGCTTGTGTTTGAGTTAGAATATCTGGGTCTTTCTATGCTCATCATATTGATTTGTTGCAAAGGTTACTTTCTTGTTCACAGTAAGCTAACTCCAACTGCTCCTGCATGAAAAGTTCCAAACAGTCATCGAGGGCACAAAGAAAACGTGAGGACGAACAACGCTATCTTTTAACTTTGAAGTTAGGGTCTATTGTCTCGATCGACCATACCTGGAATAGAGAAATTATGGAGAAACAACGATAAACAAGAGAGAAAAGAAAAAACAATCATTGAGACCCCAAAAAGAAAGCTCATCGAAGGCAGCAGAGGCGTGCGCTGCGTGCGCGTCGCGTTGGTACCTATGGGAAGCTGGCCGGGGTCCACACTAGACCTCATAATTGAAATTGCGATTTGTAGTTTTCCAAGAAATTGCTTATGTTCACTGCGGACCTGATCTGAGAATCTGCCTTCTGAACCATTGAATATGAATCTTAATGAGTTTTATTGAAAACTAATTGGCTTCCCCGGTCCAGCCAGACCTACTGTTCACAGAACATGAAGTATATAGATGGTGCGGTTGCCAGCAAAACTACTGCACTGCGAACCCCCTTTTTTTCTTGTACTGGATGACCTACCTGCGGCGCCCAAGTCGGTTCACCGCATTCTCGTGAACCTGAGGTGAATATGAGCTTCACCGCCCTCCTTTACATGACTAAGGCAGAATGCTTGATTGAACATGATAAGCCTTCAATTTCTTAGAAAAACGTAAACAAATCAATAAATCGATAGAAGGATTCAACGAATCGCCGCAAAAAGTAGCCTATCATCTGCGCAGGGATCGACAACATATGTGTGCAAAGTTTTAGCTGAATTGGTTGAGAAGCGCGCGTTTCTATAACGCACATAGCCTCCAAACTCACAATTTTGAGTTTTACATATATAGAGAGATGAGTTTTTGCCGCATCGCAAATTGAGTTTGCACCGCATAGATAAGCAACATATACTTACACATATTGGCTCCCAGTACGTAGTTATTCCAGATCGCTATTATCAGGATCTTTCAATGAAGAAAATTGTTTGAAAGTAACTGAGCGACGACTATACATATGCATATTCCTAAGAGGAGATATAAACTAATTTAGTTTATAAATTATATATATGTATATAACTTATAATTTATAAATATTGCTAACTAACATTACAAGATTTGATAATGAAATTTGATAAACTTTTATGAAAAGGAAAAATCCTTATAGTGATGAAAAAGTACTAACAAATTTTAGCACCGCATAGATAAGCAACATTTATTTACACATATTGGTTTCTAGTAAAAAATTATTCCAGATCGCTAATACTAGAATCTTACCACAATACTTCATTGGAAACAGCAGCCGAAGTATACCATCAATTTGGATTTGGATATGCTTGTGACGACCTAGTTCCACACAAAAGGACTCTACTCAACGATGCCAAAAATATAATTTTTGTGAGGGATCTCACCATAACTCCCTTACACCGGTCGTACGCAGTTCGCAAGTAAGCACCGTCGAAGGTTTCAGTGTTAAAGGAGGTTGTACATATACTTCAAACTGGCTCCCAAAACCTCTGCTTGCATCAATAGCTAGTGTAAATCTTGACATACGCTCGAAAAAACCTCCGACAGCTTTGTAAACCTATGCTAGAAAAGGATGTAACGACCTGAAGAGAGAAGCTACTATATCTCTTCGAAAGTGACGATGAGTTTATTAGTACATATTTTGCTAAAAAATTTTTCACAAAGGTCAGCATTTGGTCAATACGATCGTAATGTGAAATATTGCAGTTAAAAAGTCACGGTTTTCCCGGTGCATGATATTGAAGGAACTTGAGGAGAGGAGTGGAATTTTGCGAGATAACGGTAGTACTATGGTGTTCTTGAAAGTTTAAGTTCTTCCTTGTATTTATCATATAATAAAAATGTATGTGACAGAATAATGACACATTGTTCAATCGTTAACACATTGACAATAGCGTGCCCCAGCCTGTGGTCATGCCATGATTACCACGTTGGACAATGTGGGTCACATGGTTTTCTACCGATCTGTACCAAAGTCTAGAGTTGGCTTTGATCAAGATTTACAGCAAGCAGCAGATCTCCGATTTCTCTTTAGGATTACGGCAGGAACTTTGAAGAGGGTTCTTAGCTAATGAGAGTTGCATACTTGGCATACACATTCGCATACATGCAAGTTATGTAAGAAAGTCAGCATGCAACTCTGCTGAGCAATTTTCAAATTTCTTTGAACTATTTTTTATCAAATGGCCTTTTCAAGTGGTACTCTAGGCTGGAAGTTTCTAAACCTACAGTAACGAGAGTGATCTATAATTTGCTCCAAACTGTAAATCTAAGTTGAAGCCAGCTCTACTTTGATATATAAAGATCGGCAAAAGACTTCGAATAAAGAGAGCTAATAACAAACAATGTTCACATTTGAAACACTTTTTAAACACTTTTGTCAGATGAAAACAAGCGGTAACTACTCAACACTTTCAAAACACTATAAAACTCATCATCTCGCAAAGATCTGAATCTCAAATTATACTTCAAAAATCCGTCTGTTTCGACCAGCTGCTTCTTTTGTTTATGTGAAGTTGAAAAGAATCGGAATCCTTTGGCAGTTTTAGAAAAAATCAAGATTTGTTTATTTATTTAATACACAAGAGTGCACCAAAACAGAACAAAAAAGAAAGAAAAAAAACACAACAGAGAACACAGAAACTGGGATCGGATCACTTGTCCCTTGCCGGATTGATCAGGTCGTTCTCCTTCTCCAAAAAGTGAGTAGGGCTCTGCCGAGTTCCTTTTCCTATTCCTAAGATTTTACTAATTTATTAAGTGAGCAGTTGAGTTGTGCTACTAACCTCATTACTTTCCTTACATCGAAAGTGGCGCATTCATTTTGGGCGTAATCTAAATGAGTGATGAACTACAAACCCTCTCAGATAGTCTGATTTGATTGCAAAGCTTTTACGCATTTTCGCAAACTGATCAAATTCGAAACTTTACTGGGCTAAAAAATTGAAGCCGTTTGTCGCTTGAATCAAACACTTTAAAGCGAAACTGTAAATAGGCTAAAGACTAATAAACTAATAACTCGTTCTCACTACATTTTCCCACATACCATATCTGATTAGGACGGTTTGTTTCAATTATGATCAAATACCACGCAGTCAAGTCCGTAATGCAAATCTTGGGCTCTCAAGTCTTGCTTATAGAAGAAAGAAATTCGATCTTATCACGGTGCACAAAATAATATTTGGAACATACAAGCTCGATTGAGTAACTTTTTTGTGACTAGATCCTCGAATACTAGAGGTGGACTTAGAAAGCTTGTGTTTCCAAAGGCTAAGCGAAATGTCAGAAGACACTTTTTCACGTGTCGAGTGGCACATGATGTAGATATACTTTTGAGGAAAAGTTCGTGGCTAAACTCGCAATGTTCAGAAAAGTTTTGAGAGGCTACCTGAAAACACACTAACACCTTTTTTGTTCAGGTGCTGTGGTGTTGACTGTTTTGTTTTTTTTGTTGTTGTTGTTTGTTTGTTTTCTTCTTTTCATAGGGGCATCTCTATGCACAAATAAATAAATAAATATCACGCTAGCTGCGTGGGTGGTTAGAGTGGGCGCGCTTTCCTTTCACCTTGTCTCCCTTCGCATCATTTCGCCAATTCGACTCCATCAAAGAAGGAGAGGTGGAGTTTCAAAACCAAAATGCCATTACGCAATTCGATTTTTTAGCAGTAAAACAGTTTTATTGAGTCGTCCCAAAATCAAATTCCTTTCTTAAAATAAATCAAGCTGTTTTTGTTTACTTAGTATACTTAACTTTTGCATCTTTCTGTTAGATGCGATTCAAGTTCTTGATGCTTTGGTATCGACTACTCTTATTTATTTATCACTGCCAAATGTGAATCAAAAAAATCCGGAAAAATTCAAATTTAACTGCCGTTCGAAAACCTCTCCCGAAACATACATGTATAAAGGTTTGCAACTAATGCTCACATTGTAGTAAAGCATTGTTACAACTTGACTAAGAGTCCCAAATTTTTTTTTAAAGTTTTGCTTTCAGAAAGATGCCAGCACTACTAAACAAACTTAATGGAGCTATTGCATTCGCCAGTGAAGGGTTTGTTTCTGACATAAAGTCTGTCCTTGGGTAAGCTTGTACCATGTTTTTTTATTTAGGTTTCCTACGATACGCAATCGCTATATGCGACCTTTCAAGCAGTATGTTAATCAAGGTTTAAGAGGAAACACAAATGTACTGACGTTAAGCCATCTCTGGTTGCTTTTTGATATGGTAGGAAGACTACTATTGTTCTCGCTCGCTTGTATCTTTGCAGGTAAATAGGTCAGAATCGTACCAGGTTAACAAAGGTTCTTTATATCTCACTAAGAAGAATTGTAAAAGTAGCATCATTTGGCACAGAAAAGCAAACCTACATAGTAGTGGCTATCAGCTTTTGCACCAGAGCCACCCAAAGTTTGAAGTCTATACAAAAAAGTTTCATGCTCAAAAAATCAAGAGAAAATCAGATCTCCGTTCAGGAAAGCTACGTTTTTCCACTCGCTCACACGCATATTCCCATTGGACATTCATATAAATGGTTGCTGGAATTGCTTCGAGGAAATAAAAAAAGGGGATTTTTATGCGTTTTTCAAAGTTATGCCGGGCTGCTTCCTCGAGTAATTCTATGTTGCAAGCCTTTGTAAAAATTATTATTTTTAGCCTTCTGAAAGCGCTAGTTTCCAAAAAATACCAAATTTAGCATGAGAACTCAAAAGAAGGAGGCTTATAATGTTTCTTGAGACGAGAGCCTATAGAAGGTTAAGAATTGACGGCCATGCAAACTTTGAGGATAATCGTCACTTTACTAATTCAAACCTTAACACACCAATTGTGTTGGTCGTCCTGTTGAGAAAAGCATGAAACTTCCGTTTTCGCTTCCAGCAAAGCACATCTAGAGCCAGTATGCTCTGATGCTCAGTGTGGGACCAGCTGATTATCCGCAGAATTGAAGGGATTTCTGATCCTTTTATGCTTAAAATATTTGTAACTTTTCAGATTTTGGTTCACTTAACTTCACGTAGCCAACCAGTGTAAAAGGTTGACATTTTGTAGAGCTCGCTTTGCTCTGGCGACTATTGTTGCTCAAAAATTTCGAAATTTGCTTTATTGCGGTGTCATAAAAACAGGTGAAAAAACAGGCGGCATTCTTTTTCTAATAACACATCCTGCACTCCAAACATCATGCTGTTTTGAGATTTGAAGCACAAAATAAGCCGTACACTTCTTTGTCTTGAGTGAAAACTGTGTACTTCATCTATTATAAAGAAAAGGCTTGCTGAGCCTAGCGACCTACAAAATTCAGATGCTCAAAACCGATGTTAAATCGATCGCTGAGTGGTAACATGTTTCTACAATGCCTCCCTTCCCTGAGTTGTACCATAGACATAGACGGATAGATGACCGATCTGTCAATCTGTCTTGCAGTACCTGCAAGTACTTGGAGGTCCCGAAAGTAAACCGTACTCCTAAATAAATCTCAGACTGTTTTCGTTTTTCTCGCAGACTTACAAGGAAAGGATATGACCGTGGCCATTCATGATGAGGTGTATATTAAAAAATGTGCCTTTGAATGCTGGTTCGAAAACTGTCTTCCATATCTGCGAAACGATAAAATGAATGGTGTTATAAATACTTTTTTAAGAATGAATTGCTACCGCGAAGGGTTAAAATCTTCAATAGAAAGTTTTCTAACCTTTTTAACTGCTGGATATGATTTAAACAATTATAAATACAATAATACTTTGCGTAAGATTTTTTTCAATAGCATCAAACGGTAAACAAGACGAAATCCGGTTATCTCAAATAACCAAAAGTTCGCAAATTTTCAAGAAATAATAACTTCTTTCAGGAGATCGCTTCGAAGATACCGAGAGCGGATTTAGAATTAGCATTTCAAGATGCATCTTATGCTGCAAACCACATTACAAGTGGTGACCGAGTATCCCTTCTTTGTTAGAGTATTATTCGATAGAGCGAAGCAAGCTTTACAAAATGGCCAACAAAGAGTAATTCGTAAGAGAGTAGGAGTCGTAATCCAGGTATGAAGCAAAATTGAAAAAAAACATTAGATCACTGTATACTACAAGTTTTAATAAGCATAATTTTAGAATTCTATTCCTTTTTGTGCTTTGATATTTGAGAAATACCAAGTTGAACGTAAAAAAAAACCGAAGAATGTATTTTTGCTTTTTTGGGCCATCTTAATTTTCTCAATTTTGAGCCCCTAAAAAATCTATCAAATACATTTTTGGGCACTACTGTGTGTTTATTGTAGACCAAAAAGGAAATTCGTAGGAATTTCCTGTGGCCGTATTCATCATTGCTACCTTGAGGTAAAATGAACCTTGAGGTAGGATTATCACTCAAAACCCGTATTCATCAATGTACCTTGAGGTGAATCGTCAAGGTTAGATCAACCTTGAAAATGATTTTATGTGGAACGGATGATACCTTGAGGCTAATTTTACCTCAAGGTAGCCTTATCAGCGATAAATCCGTATTCATCAAACTTGATGCCTTTACCTCAAGGTACACTCACAATGAAACTTTTACCCTGGCAAAAGGCAAGGTTAGGAGTGATACCTTTAGAAATCTACAAGGTTTTAGAGAGAGTTTTTTCACACGAACACTGAAGTGACAAAACTGAACCCATTGCGGCAAATTTGTTTAATTTCGTTGAGATTAGCTTGAGTTATAGACATGTAAAGAAATTAGTACTACACTTCTCTTTCATCCCATGAATATGTTGAGAATGTTTTAAAACTCTTGTGAAACTGATGTACTGAACCAGAGAAAGTCAAACACATCCTTTATTCGCTTCAATAGCATTTTGAGCATCATAGATCCTATCAAACAGTATTTTGAGCATAGCATCCTGGAACCACAAGCTGAAAGTTGCATTACCCAACAACAATCGCTTTGCAAGCTCTGTATTCAAGAAAAGCCAGTATTGACGTTCGTGTAACGCCACTTTATTCTTGTTCAGTTTCTCAACCCAAATTCAACTGAAATAGGCATAGGCATTGCAGCAGAGAATTTGGTAAATTTTGCTTAGAAGCAAATATTTTCCCGGATGGAGTCTTAAGACCTAGAATAGCTGAATATTTGGAGCCTATCCTCTCCAATTCACCAACTGTAGCCTTTCATACTCTAAAGACATAAGTATCCTCGCGTAAATCCCATGCAGATATGAAAAAAAGCAGTTCACCGCAAGCACGCCATTCCCTTCTCTGAAAAAACGTCAGTGTTTATCATGTGGCACAGGTTATTTTAACCTTGAGAGATAAATGTTGATGAATACGAAATTATACCTTAAGGTAGATTGTACCTTGAGGTAGCTTCTCAAGGTAATTTATATTGCAGTAGGGTTTATTCTAATCTCACCACTGCAGCCGAAGCAGCTAGAAAGGTACGCGCCATAAACTCATACATTCTTCATATCTCAGGCTCTGAGAACGCATGAGCCGCAGAAAATCATGCACTGAATGTGCCAACTCTGCTCAGCCGCTATGGTGCAGCCCACCCTCCCCTTTTGGGTGCAATTGCACTAAAATACACTCGAAACGCGATCCTTCATAGGGCGGCTGATACCGGATCATAAGTTTACTATAAGTCCTTCCCCTGTCAGCCCACAATATGTAAATCGCAGTAATAATGAGGGCCACAGCTTGTCCGCTTCTAGCGTCTGAGCTGGCACGTTTGTGCCATCACGACAATCGTTAGTTTTGAATTTGGTATAGTTGATTTTGGTACATAATCTTCAGAATTTCGCTTTCGCTGAAGAAAAAAATCATAGCGTCCGTTTCGCACTCAGTCTGTGACATTCCTTTATGTTAAGGGAAGGGGGGGGGTTAAGGGTCCGTGCCATGCGCGCTGTCCTTGGGATAAATTACAAAAAACGGGATTGATATGTCTTTTAAGAGTGCCAGGCTCATTATTACCTAATGCTTTTCTTTGTCTTTCTCATCCGCTCCTCCAGCGGCGCAACATACGCAAAGCGAGCATTGCGTACGAACGGTCCTAAAATTTATATACCCACAAACGAAAGTAGAAAAGAGAGATTTACAATAATGAACTTTACACACCGCTGAGAGTTATGGCATGCCCTGAATGAGTGTCACCGCACTTGCTGAGGTAGAATTAACCTTGAAGTACTTCGATGAATACGAAACAGCCTTGAGGTAGAGTGCACCTTGAGGTACATTTTACCTCAAGGTTCATTTTACCTAAGATAGCAATGATGAATACGGCCTCTGGAAGAGATCCAATTTTCAGGGTAGTTAGAAATTTTTGTTTTTTGGACCCAAATTTTACCTTGATCACGACTTAGACAAATCTTTGGGGTCATTCTGTAGAGCTTGCTTCGCTCTATCGAATGATTCCCTAAATCTGCTGGGAAAAATGGTCTGATTTATTTAGAAACGGTTTACTTTTGGGACAACCTAATAGAACATCTCAATCCATTAAACTCAAGATGACAGCGGTAACTACCATTTAAGCATCTAAAGTTGCTGCTGAACACAACTGTAAAGAAATTATAGCAGTTTTTTAGAAATCACTTACTTCCGCTACAGCCAGCGACTCTCAGAATGGATCAAAGCACATCGCTACTGTCATCAACTTTTTGAATGGTTTCGCAAAGCTGGTCAACTTCTTCAACTCCATCCTAAGCGTGAAGCCGAAAATAAAAATACTGTTGAACTCAAGGGCATCTCATACTTCGCGGAATAAGATCATTTGTTTACGTAAATCGAATGCGTCTGCTCGCAAAATCATTTGATTGAAATAGTTAGTTCAAAACTGTGTCGTTATTTGCAGAACGTAACTTTACACACATTCTTCTTGCTATTCATAATCTTCCGTTCATATAACATCTTTTAATCAAGTAAACCTTATTGTATAATATTAGATGTGTTTTCGTGTAGCTCATACAATCTGTAGCTTAACGAAGGCATTATACTTACTACGCTGTACATGGAAGAAAACAGGTAAATAACGATTGCTTAAGTTTAAATGTTTTTCTGAACTTGCACATGACACATTTTTGATACATCAGAAAAAACAACAGCTTCCAAGCCCAAGGAATGTTTGTTCCAAACAATTGCTTGTGTTGTAAAAATTTTTATCTTCTGTAATGGCAGATACTCCAAATTGAGATTCATATTTGTACAGATTAAGAGTGAAGGAAGGACAGCCGATGTTTGTATAACTTTGACATTTAAACTCAATTTCACAACTCACCATTAAAGGCAGTATCTGAGAAAACTACTGCTCAAGTACGGACGGAGAAAGCTAAAAGATCGCTGCACTTTTATATATACTCGTGCTCAACTAGTCGCTTTTTAAATTCGAATTTGAATTGGAGCAGATGGTTGGCGCCAAAGCGAAGCAGACGCGCTCTCAGTCAAAGTTTGCAATCAGTTTTTATCGTTTTCTTCGTGTTTCTTTACTATTTCTCAAGCTGCAGCAATGTCCTTCTCAGATTTTACGTGTCGTTACCCTGATCGCTGTTCCGTGCAGTTACGACCGTTTGCACAATTTTTCCAGGTAAACCCGGAAAAACAATGCAGTTGGAGATTTTTGAATAGAAGCTCGCTTTTCTTCCGATAAGTAACATAAGCACTGCAAGTATGTCTAGTAAAATGTATCCAAAATTTTCAACAGAATGTGTTCATCAAACTCTTTCTTTTTCGGACCTAAAGCTGTTCAAGAAGTATAGATAAGTTCTTTGGATAAAGCATTGGACATAATCGCCTTCCATAACAATATACTAGGCTGCTGCATGATTTCTATCCCATTTCGAATTTCGATTCTAAAATGCCACAACTTTTTTCAAAGTCTACTTTTTTCCACGATCTTAGTTCCTATGTGTTGAGCAGGTCCTTGGCTATCAGAAAAATATTACAATTTGCAAAAAAAACTGTTGAAGAAGCACGAACTCAAAATCTACTGCTTTCTCCTTCAGATCTGTCTTTTTTAACATGGCAATGCTCCCTTATGAGAAGTGACAGGCGTATTAGTTAACCATTAATAGATAGAGAAACTTTTGTAGTTTATCATCCAACCTATAAGAGCCCATAGTTTTCGGTTCCGAGAGATTTTTTGACTGAATAAAAAAGAATTCGCTTTTTGACCTCGCTTCAGTACATGTGTGCATGCCTATTTACAAACTATGAAAAGTTTAAACTTGACGGGAGCGGTGAAAAAGAATTGGTTAGTGGGTCCTGGTAGCTCTTGCTTTACTGTAGCACCTAACAACTTTGGGCTCATCGCTCTATTCGCAGGAAGTTATTGTTTTCAGGACATTCATACAAAAAAAAACTAATATTCGACAAAAAAATTTGCAAGCAAGACGTTTTCTTGACGAAATCTAGCTATTCATATACTAGCTTGTCACACTCTTACTCTGCAACCAATGAAATGACTTGATTTGTAAAGAGATTGTGAAGATTTTCTTGCAAGAGAATATGTCGCAAGTGAGAACTGCTACATGGGGATCTTAGGCTTGCAATTTCGTTAGACTGAGAAATCATTCTCCTACAACAGCTACTTCAAACATAAAACAAAAAAATTGGACGTTGAAGCTGATTAATGCAAATACGAGCAATATCAAAGAAACGCAGAAAACGAAGAAAACTGATTGCGAACTTTGACTGGTGCGGCGTATGCAGCGCTCCGACACCAACCGTCTGTTCCAACTCAAATTCGAAAACCACCGAGCGACTAGTTGGGCGAAGACGACTATAGGCGTACGTCTTATTTAGCCCGCTTGTTTTTCACCTAAAACCTGTGCAGTATTCGAAGATTATTAGTTATTCACATCAGATTCCGACAGGCGAGATGTAGTTTGCGAGGTCGGTAGCTGAACAAGAAACATAAAGCAAAAAAACTTTTCAGAAGTTTTATAACATTTTTTGTTCTATTGCTAGCGTCTCCACATTCACTTTGCCGGTCCATTTTTGCAGGATTTTGGTCATGCATATCAGGGTTTTGATCATGCATGTCTGTGATTATGCTGTGACAATTTTTAGCTTTTCATATCCTTTGTAAATCTCACCAATCTACAAGGACTTTCAAACGCAATGATGACTATCATGAATCAATTGTAAACAGCTACTCATTTTGAAAGTTTTTACATGAGAGCTCGTTGATTTTCGTGGACGAGACTTCTCGCAGGATAACAAATGCAAATTCGAATTGGTTTTTGGAATTTTTATGGCTTGATAGCTGTTATAAGGACACTAATCTCCATGAGCTACATCTCTGTCCAGAAATCTTTTCAAATGCCCGGGTAAAATCTTTAAAGATTGAACGTTCACACAGCCAATTCTTAGGCGTTGTTTTCGTAACTTTTGATCACTTTTTCGGGCTAACGTCCATGACTTGCACATTGACTTGTCAAATATGTCCGTGACTCTGCAAATAGTAGTACTACGGACCCAATTTTACTGCCCAGAAGCCAAGTGGATCCGTTTAACGCGCTTTACAAGCTTTTGCATGGTGGGCTTTACTGATAGCGTGCTCTCTGCAAAATTTGGGCTCAGGACGTTGGCTGGAACAGGCTTTACGAATTTCGTAACGGACAGACAGACACACAGATTACGTAAACACCCTTAGCCCGTTAGCATAAGTTATAATAGAGGGTAGAAAAGGTGCCATCACAAAGTAATCTTCAAAAGAAATGAGGCTGAACTGTTGACGTTTAGTCTTAGATCAAGACTACCGAGTGCGCCAAGTTCAAGCCCTCGTTGTTGCTACACCTTAAGACAGTGTGGATACTGTTTAGATTTTTATATGTCGCTTCAAGACCGATAAATTGAAGTTTGTTTTTTTGACTGAGAAACGTGCTTTGTGTTTACCTGCTTTCCTTTGGATTGTATTCGGACAGCTAAATCAAGTACCATAAGATATGAACACATCAAAGCATGTCAAAGTCTTGCCATTGAAAGTAAGTTATAAAGGAGAAATGAAAAAAATCAAGTTCTTAATTTTATCTCAAAAACGTTTATAATCGCGTAAACTTCAACTGAATGTCACATTAATGTTTTTCAATAATGTCTTCTTCTTACATTTTGTGCCAAAAACTTTTTTCTTCTGGTTAGTTTCAATTTCTTGCCATAGTTTGCATTTTCGTTCGAATTTGGTTGTTGATCCTCTTTGGCTTTAGTGGGAGTCTTGGCTTTTTTACCAGTGTTTAGAGGTTGCCTTTCATAATGCTTTGTACCCTTCGTAGCTACTCTTCCGGACGATGATTTACCACCGTCTTGCTGTTTTGATTTTTGTGTAGGCGTAGAAGCCATACTTTTCAACGGTGGTCCGGGTCGTACAACTAGCTCTCTTGCAGTTGTTATATCAGGCTTTTCTGGAGTTACTATCACTGATACTTGAGGACTAGCACCGACGTCCTTCTGTAAACGTTCTATACGGCTGCGAAGTTCGGATGGTTTGACGAACTTCTGAAAAAGGATTCATAGTATAAATCTCTTTGTCTATTTTCAAAAGTTGTAAGCAATTTTTCTCAGATCCAAGTAATAAATATTGAATCAAATGCAAAAAAGCAAGTTGATTCATAGCTCTACGTTAGATCACGCAAGAATATGATAGTGAGAGCAAGTGTTTCTAGCAGGCAAGTTTTTAACAATGTATTCTCTTTGATTTTGTTGTGTTGTTTTTATAGTTGTACTTTCAGAATTGCTATAAGAAATATAGCGCGACAAGTTTTAAAAAACGTACGTTAGTTACTACGCTAGTTACTCTATCCATGCTCTGTTTCGGGGTGATGTTGTGTGAGTACGAAAGCTGAGTACTTTCTGCTTCCATTTCTGAAAGTAATGTCCATGTTTTCTGCAAGGATGAAACTATAGGATAATCATATCCTTGCATTCCGAAGTCAGATATGGTGTTCAAATTCTATGCTTTGAAATTTAAGTTTTAGAAAAGGTTCTCCTTCCTCCTTCCTTTTTTCCTTACCCTCCTCCTCCTCTTTCTCGCTTACTCATGCTGCATAAATGCAAAAGCGAAGCTTGAAAATCAAGAGAAGCGTTGATGAAGAGCAAAAGTCAATTGAAGGTAATGTGTTAGGTTGTCCCATAAGTTTTTTCATATTCGGACCTTCAATTCGATTTTTCTCAAGAACTACAGCACCTAATAGGCTGCAAATTTTTAACAGTAATTCTGAGTGAATAAGCTATATAATCAACCATTTGCGGGGTAAACAGAAGTGATACAGGCAAAGTTTGAAAATTGAGCGCATTATTTTTTTTCTTGGTTTCTAGCCATCAGAAAAATGCAGCAAGCGCATGTATAGATATCCGATGAGGAGAGTATATGCATGAAAAAGTGGGAAATTTGCAGAGCTGTTTTGAACTGAGATATGATGATTTCCGTTTTTTCGAAAATTCGGAAAATTTTTTATTTTGGCTTGGAACTTGTTGCGGATTGAGCTTGGTGCGAACTTTTGAACGCCATCTTGTAGAGCTTACTTTGATCTGTCGACCGGACCCTGCATTTTATCAGGAGTTCAAGAAGAACTGATTTATGCCGCTGAAAATTCATGTATGAAAAGACTTATGGGACAACCTAATAATTGAGGTTCAACAGTTCACACCGCGGATGATCCCGCCGATTAACCGAAAATCAGAAGCAAAACGGCACGGAGTTAGAGGTTTATCTATTCTCACAGGACTTTAAAGATCCTGTGACTTCAGGGTACACATTTGCAGAACTTTGTTTGGTATATCAAGTTAATTAAGCTCTTTCTTATTACACGAGGTGACCAGCAGCTTTACATCATCTTCTCAAAAACGAGATAACTCACTATTAGCAGAAAAGTGTAGATTTTCACTTGATTCTATTAAGTTATCTCATAAGGTTTTCAATTTTGACTTTACGCCGCAATAAGTCACAAACTTCTTGATTCTGATTACAATGCAGGGTACCGATAAAGCAAAGCAGGCTGTACAAGATGCCGTCTAAGAGTTCGCACTAGTTTCACCATATCATGAATTAGAAGCCAAAATCTGAAAACTTTCGGATGCCCAAAAAATCGAAAATTTTTCATATCTTTGTTCAGAGAAGACTTACCAGATCCTAAACTTGCTCGCGCATATACACTCCACATAAGACATTCGTATACGCCATTGTTGTGTTTGTTTTTGTGCTGAAAACCAAGAAAACTAAAACTTCCAAGCTTTCCAAAAAGCGATGCTGCGCTGTTCTCACATAGGTAAATGTATACTACAGACCTTCAAAAATACGTCGGTAAATTTTCAGCTTCCTGGAAGCGCCAGTTCCCGAGAAATATTGAATTTAACACGAATACGCTTGCAAAAAGAGCTGAATTCGATACTTCTCAGAAACTAGCCCATGAAGCTGAAAACTTACCGGTGTGTTTCTGAGAGTCTGTAATGTACATTTATTTATGCGAGAACAGCGCAACATCGCTTTTTTGGAAGTTTAAAAACTTTTGTTCTCTTGGTCTCCAGCACAAAAAAAAACACAGCAACGCATATGTGAATGTCCTATGTGGAGTGTATATGCGTGAGCAAGTTTAAGATCTGTTGAGTCTTCTTCGAACAAAGATATAAAAATTTTTCGATTTTTCAGGCATCCAAAAGTTCTCAGATTTCGGTTTCTAATTCGTGATGTGGTGAAGCTGGTGCGAACACTTACACGGCATCTTGTACAGCTTGCTTTGCTCTATCGAAAAGTACACGACCTAGTAATTTAGCAAAGCTATTTCATCTAAGAATCAACTGACAATCAATTTCATTTCCATTAAATTTCCAATGTTGTGTTTAGTTTGCATTCTGAACCCCTTGTCTAAGCTGTCATCGAATGAGCTTCCACATGATACCCCTTAGAATGATCTTTTTCAATTTGCTTTACGTGCAGAACCATCACATTATTATCCTCCACAACCATTTTTACAAATAAAGTAGGGGCTTTTTTTTTTATTCCAAATCATGATATGACTGACTCGCATACGTCTCAGAAAACGCAATGCTATTTTTCTTTACAGTCTTGATAATGAAACGATGATGTTTACCTGCAGCGATTCAGAATGAAACAATCATGAGACCAGCATGATGACTTTTTGGTTACTTGCTTGTTTTCAAATTTTGTGCGACCTATTCAGCTGAGAAGCCACCGAAGATTGCACTTACACGATTTTGAAAGAAAGTCCATAACTCCATGTAATAATTTCTACTAGATTATTACCAATTAGAAAAAGTGTTATTTCAGACTCCAGCAAAAAAGAAGATTTCGATCCAGCTTGATTGTTCTTTGGGAAGTTTTCTGAATGGTCACCACCCCACCCCACGTGGTTGCAGGCGGCGATTGCCCTAGTTGAGAAGAAGGTTGTTGCGGCCTTCCTGCCTCTACAAAGTGATCCACATGAAGCGTGACGGGCTTTAAAATTCTTTTGACCCCTCTTTATGTTCTTCTCCGCAAAAATATATATATTACTACCTTCATATATTTTAGACCTGTTGTGGGCGGAATTACAAGCAATGAAGTTCATTTTCGGAAACTTGCAATTTTGCAAGTTTATCTTTGTAGACCAAAACTTCAGAACTCCAACAATTTTTTTTTCGGTTCAACCGCTGCTAAAGCACATGAATTTCTTCTCCCAAAACTCGTAAAAAAGCAAACCCGTTGACGGCAACATACCAAAAATAATCGTGCCCATCCTAACAAATCCGCGAAAAAGAGTAAATGCCTGTATCAGAAAAGCGGACATCTTCAAATGTTTTTGATAGCGTCTCACAGAAAATGTATGTGGCCACCAGAAAGAGTTTAGTGTTTAAATCATAAGCATTTCTTTGCGTCACGGGGCACCCTGTGTTGGCATAGCAGAATTACTTGCGAACACCTAGTTGTCAGTAAACGAAATGGCAACTTTGAGAGTTTTCAGTAAACGAAGTAGCAATAATGTGTAGCAATAATGTAGTAATGTATTCTGGTTCAAAAAACTGGTTGAGTTTCCTTCATATCAAGCTATGTTGATGATGGAATAACGAGACAAAAAGATAAATTTGTTGAGAATATGAAGATGACAAGATCGATCCGTTTTTAGAGCCAAAATGGATAGCTGCTAACAATAACAGAAAAGGCTTACTCGGTATGATGATGTTTAGTTCTTTGCGGCTCTCACTGTTCGTTGTATTATATTGCTAAAATAAAAATAATAAGAGCCAAATCTCGTAAACCTTAAACAACAACAAAATTCATTAGTCCTTGTTTGCAGTGCACAGCTGCGTGCTCACTCCCAGTAATAGGCAGGAATGAAGCCAACTGAGCGTCTGAGCGTCGAGTGAGTCTCTATGAATACAACGGCCGAATAAGTGGTTAGTGAGCAATCAACTGGTAATACGACGGTTTGAGGGTATTGAGTGTGGCGGGCAGTATGATGCAGAATAAGCAGCCTTGTTATCTTACACTACTGAATGAAATCTTTACAATACACGAAGTGATTGCATACTGAAAGATTCGCAACTGATTGATCAGCAACAGTTGAAGTATTATGGCGTCCCATAATTTTTTACGGTTTTTACTACGTTTATTTTTTATCTTTCCTTCAATCAATGTGGCTTGCGTAATCATTCGACAGGACAATACAATCTCTACAAAATGGCTCTAAAAAGTCTGCCCAAATCATATTCCACGTGAAGTTTTGGCTGAAATCTGATAGCAGTGAATAAGGACTCTACCAGAAAACGTATTCTCTCCCGAAAAATTCTTAGAAATTCCCCATCTATCTTAGCATATGCTTGACATATTAAACATTCAACTGTACACTTTCCGTATTTTTTCCATAGCTAGAAATAGAGAAATGTACGGAGTAAAATGACAACTTCCGCCCCTAGACGGTTCTCCCACGCATGTGATCACATAGCTCATACAGAAAGAAATTCATGTAATTGTACCGTTGTATGCCCCAGTTCTCGAGTGCTGATGTCGGGGTAAAAGCGGTAAAAAATTATGGGACACCCTAATACCCGTATTTTTTCCTAATAGGTTGACCACTGCTTGTAACAAATATAGATTAAGCGTAACTAGCCTGCAATTTTGCACAGGTAGATAGTCATAAAAGCATTTGGCAAATTATTAGGTTGGCACATAAGTAATGCAACTTTCTATATAACTTTTGTCTGTTTGAACATAGCGCATTCATTTTTTGGCAATACAAGGAATATGATGTGAGCTTCTAATGCACATACTTTTGCCGAATTTTATCATCTTATATGAGGATTACGGTAGGTTTACGGTACTATGGGAAAAATTTTAGAATGCATCAGATTTTGCTGAAACTTGGCCTATAGGGCTTATTTGACATGCTGATCACAAAAATGAAATCCGTTTCGCATGAAAAGGTCTCGTTCGTGAGATCAAAAGAGGATTACATTTTAGCGACAAATGAGAATGATATTCGTGTTTACCGCATAGGATTATCCTATAATGCAAAGTTATAGCGAATTCTGACTTTTCGCAGCTTAATTATTGACAAATTGCCTTCAAAACTTGACGCATTTGACTTGTTCAACTTCTCAAAGGCGCCCCACCTTAATTTGTGTTTAAATTTCATTTCTTTTTCACTGATTCCAATGTGCCAACTTCCAGCTACATGCAGCCTATAATTGCTTTTTCATATGTTTGAATCAGGTTTCATAGGGCTTCATGTTTGCCAAAAAATCGTGAAACCTCGATTTTCAGAATGCTTAGATTTTTTGTACTACGTTATCAAAAATCAAACGGTTTGCGCAGACTTGCAGCATACATCACGATCTACATGATGCCACAAAATGAGATTGCTACATAAAATAGGAAAAAAGTTACGGGAAAAGTTGCAAAACTTATGTGCCAACCTAATATATTGGAAGAAGGAAGAATAGAAGATTAAAAAACGTTTTTACACCGTCAGCTGTCAGAGGGCCAATTTTAGTGATTCACAGAAACGACTTTAACTGCTCTTTCTGAAAACTGCATTTTTCTCAAAATACCAGAACTTTGGCTAGCACAAGCTTTTTCTTTCCTAAAATCTTCTCCAATATATTAGGTTGTCCTGAAATTAATGTCCGTTTTGAATTTCAACCGCAATCAGTTATACATTTTCATTCCTAAATAGCTTTCAAAGGTACCATTCGAAAGAGCAAAGCAAGCTCTATAAGTTGGCTGTCTTGCTTTAGCAACAGCTCTGATTCACCTCGAGTTTCGAGCCAGAAACTAAAAAGATTCAACTACCCGAAAAATCGAGAAAAGTTTTAACTCAGTTTATAAGAACGCTGCAAAAATTCTAACTTGCTCACGTAAACACTATCCACATAAGACATATATTTACGCCGTTGCCGTATTTTTTCCTCTGTTAGAAATCGAAAAAAACTATTAAAAAAAATTATTCATGCTTTTGCAAAAGTGATGCTGTGCCGTCCTCACATAAGTAGACGTATACTACAAACCTGTAGAAGTATAAACATGGATTTTCAGCTTTTTACAAGCTTTAGTTCTCGAGAAATCTGAATTTTAGCTTGGACCACCTAACTAATGAAGGTTATATTCGATATTTCTCGAGAACTAAAGCTTGTAGAGAGCTGAAAATCTAATTCTGTGCTTCTACAGGCTTGTGGTATACAACTGCCTATGTGGGGACGGCACAACACGACTTTGGCGATCGCACGAAAATTTCCGTTTTTTCGATTTCTAACAGAGGAAAAAATACGGCAACGGCGTAAATATATGTCTTATGTGGATAGTGTTTACGTGAGCAAGTTAGAATTTTTGCAGGGTTCTTATGGACTGATTTATAATTTTTCTCGATTTTTCGGGTAGTTGGATTTTTTTAGTTTTTGGCTCGAAACTCGAGGTGGATCAGAGCTGTTGCTAAAGCAAGACAGCCATCTTGTAGAGCTTGCTTTGCTCTTTCGAATGGTACCTTTGAAAGCTATTTAGGAATGAAAATGTATAACTGATTGTGGTTGAAATTCAAAACGGACATTAATTTCCGGACAACGTAATAATTTTTTATGGCACGTGCCATAGTGCGCTAGTTGTAATTGACACTCTGCAAGACATAAGTGAAATGCCTAAAAAGGCATGAAAAAATAGAGTGATGGTTGTTTTGTCATTCCTCTAAAAAGCGGGAGAAACAAGATACTAGAAGCCACAGCGCCGTGATCGCACGGCACAAACTTTCATTTACCTCAAGCGTTGTCACAACTATTGTGTAAGAATATGCTTGCCTTTGCTTATCTGCTACTTGAGCACAAACACTCTCTGTCTTCACAGAACAAAGCATTAAAAATTATTGTTGGTACCAAAAATTAAGCTCACTCTATAATAACCGTAGCCAACATCATCTGGTTCACGAAGTCCTTCTATAATATCATTAGTTGTAATCTAAAATGCTGTTTTTATTCTCGTATTTTCCAAACCATGACACCAACTGACCTCATAGTAAGCAACTTTGCTCAAACACCTTATTTCTGGAGAAGCTGCATATGTCCTATGTCCCAGTGGCTCTCCCAAGCACGACAGTGAGTGCAAACGTTTCTTTAAAAAAACATTTTAATTGAGAGAATATTGAATGTGTTAAGTTTTTTGCAATACCAAAGGAGTTGCAAGACACATGATTAAGCATTCTTATAAGAGCGTAGCACTGAGCAGCATATTTTTCAATGTAACTCACCCTTTTCAATGTGTCAGGGAATTTAATTACTACATCGTTTGAAAATTATAAAGATTCCCTTTTTCAACAATAGAAAACAAGGAAGTGTTTTTTTTTCTCGAGTTTGTATGCCTCTTTATATGATGCCTATCTCTCACCACAAATGGAAATAGTCGTATTGAATTGACCATATATCGTCGGCAGTGGCATATCCAGGCTTTCCGTTAGGGAGGAGGGGGGGGGGGGGAAGGACAAAAAATTTTTCTGATTAAGACGGGTGGCGGCGGGTGCGTCAGCCACGGTTCCGGAAAAAAATTTTTTGTATGCGAATAAATTAAAGTTTCAAAATTTTGAGATCATTTCAATTTTACAAACAGGTTACTTGCACTTTTTTATAATTCATGTAAGTAGCTTTCAAAAATTTGGCGGTCTATTCTTGGGGGTGGGGGAGAGGGGCGCTTCACCCTCTCGGTACGCCACTGATCATCAAATATTATGCGCATCCACCACGTCGGACGAATACTTTATATAAACTGATTTGTAAACAGAACAATTTACCTTAAACAAATGTTTCACTATCGACTTTCCCCATATGTATGGCCGAAAATCGGCACGGTTGGCATCAAGTCTGTACATTGCGACTTTTCCGCTGTGTACGGATATCGTGCCACTATAGAAAATGACCATCCTGTAGAGCTTGAGTAAACATAAAACATATGGATTGAACCCTCCACTAACCTTTGACTATCTTTGATTTTTATTATATCATCTTCGTCTGCGAACTTCAACTTTTTGACATCTAACAAACCTTTCATCTTCCAAATATCGTACCCAAGTGAAGCGAATAACGGACATACAGCAAATATAGTCTACAATTTGACAATAATTTCAAAAATTTTCTTGCAGCTGTCTGGGAAGAAACTCTAAACTGAATGTTATCTAAAAAGTGATTTTGGGAAAACCTCTTATTTTGTAACAAAATAAATATTTTACAGTCGTCCTGTTGTTGTTAAACTGACAATCACTCTTTGATCAATCCAATCACGCTTTTACGTTTCGAACTTTCAATACCCTTCACATAGAAGCTGTGCATTTGCTGAATATTTTGCTGACTCTGTGCCAAACAAATTTGATAAGTCAAAGCGTTCTTCCTTCATTTGTTTTTTATTGCTATTTATGCAATGTTCAAAGAGGTACACTGTTTATGGCAAAGACTTTTCATATAATGAGCGAGAAATGAACTTGGCTGCTGTGAAAACGTTGACAAAAGAGTAATGTGCTTATTCAGTTCCGCATAATTCTAGTTGATATTTCAGCCATCTAGCAGCTGCTCATTGCAAAGAAATTATTTAATCAAATGGAGTAAATCAAAGAAACCTGTATGAGTTTCAGCATTGCATTTACGGGAAGAGCTGGACCTCTTTCTTCTTCTGTCTCACGAAACCAATCAAGAGTTTGCTGATCTTTATGAATTCCTGCGCGGCGACTGTTCCACAACTTATCGGAGTCATCCTGAATGAATGTAATAATAAACATAAACCTTTCATACATATTGATTTCGGCATAGTCACCTCTATCTCTCCAAAAACTTCTTCGATCACATCCTCAAAGGTGATGATACCAACAATTTTGTACCGACCATAAGCAAACCGTATCACTCCACAAAGGTGGTGCTCCCCTGTACGAAATTTTTGAGAAACCTTCAGAAACTGTAGCTACTACCTTTCATCATTTCCTGCATGACTGCTTCTCCTTTTTGCGAAGCCAAGACAAATCGCATCTTAAACGTCAGATACGTAGAAGTTACAATGCATAGCAATATTTGAGTGCACCTGTGTGCGAGCATCATCGCATTGGCTGATTACATCTTTGACCTTCCAATTTCGATCTATCGTTGAAGTGGCAAGATCCTGCAAGAACTCATAATTGTGAAAAATAAAACAGAAATTTGCTGTTCTGTCGTTGAAGTGGCAAGATCCTGCAAGAACTCACAATTGTGAAAAATAAAACAGAAAGTTGCTGTAAAATTTTATGAGTTTTTCAAAAAAAATCCTGAAAGATATAGCATGTTTCAAAACAAAGTGAGGCAAATTATACGACGTATGTAGCTTTGCGTCCTATTGGCGGCTGTATAAAATCATTTGTAACTAAGCTAAAACCTGTCTTCTCATTTTCCTCAGTTTCTAGGCCAAAATACCAGCGACTTGTGCTCGCCGATGTTGCCTAACACCTTGCGAAGCCTAGGCAGGTCGAAGCTACGAATTCTTAACAATTGGAACAAACTATGTGTGACTATTCCGTTTTTACTGGATTTTCGAAAGCGCACTAGCAATTACGCCACATGCCTTCACGTTCAGCACGGTGCTAATATTTGCCTTGTTTCTTTCTTCATATACAGGAATTCTTGTATAGCCCTTCTCCAAAATGGCTGCCAGGAGCTTAATGATTGTCTGTTGTTATTATTTATTCACGAGAAGACAACATTGATCGAAGGAAGTGGCAGTTTTGAGGTGAGATGTATATCGTTAAGTAAGATCGATAATGGTCCGACAATCGTAAATACGAGTAATAATAATTTTTTCTTTAAAAAAAGGTCAAAAAAGTGAACGATATTTGAAGGCTAGTTTATCATACACAGCACCCAACGACCGTTTTGTTCCTACGACCTCATATACCACCATAATCGAATTAAGAATTTTCGAGAAAAATTTCACAATTAAGAATGGTAGTTTCTAGATGCGATTTGCATCTCACCTCAACGAGCCACCGATTTGAAGTAAGCAAGCAAATCCTGTACACCTTTTGATCCAGTGTGTCACTGCTGCTCAGTATAAAAGCGTCTTCTATCGGTGTCATCATTTCCTCTACCTTCTTTTTAGGAAAGTCTGCTATTCTGGCAAGAATGTCTGGAAGACAAAATTAAAAGCTTTTTAGACGGCTGTGGGAGATTGACCTCCTTGTGCCGCTTCTTCCATCTGCTTTGATTGTACTTTGATCAATGCTTCCAGTTTCTCTTCAGAATAAATCTCACGGACCTAAACTGGACCTCATTAAAATTGTATGAACCTTGGTAGAAGTAAAGTAACAACCCTACTTCCCTGCCGAGAACATAGTCGATAATTCTACTGAGTGGGTAGGCCACGGGAGCGCAAATAATGAATAGAAGAAGTGTTATGTGTCTTGTTGATGCTGCTATTTCAAGACCAAAGCGATTACAGATTGACTGCAATAAGCGTTTGCAATACGGCGTTCTGTATAACGATCTGTCAAACTCAATGGAAACTAGATAGAATACTTCAAAAAAGTGCATGTGTAAGATTATAAGTACTCAGCCAACCCTCTACTTTCCGGGAACGGAAAACTAATACCAGAGTAATCTGGGAGAATAAAAGCGATTTGCTAGGCTGACCCCCCGTGAAAAAAAGGCTCGCACGCGTTTGAATGCCTCTCCAGCTTTGAAAATTGCGTTCGGCGCATGCGGCAGAGGGTTATAAGGACGCGAGATTTCTTACTCAAGGTCAGAAAATCTGTCTTGTACCGAAATATCTAACATCTTGTAAATAAGATGACAAAATTCTGAAAAACAAGGGCTAATCGTCAAACAAATGTAGCTTGAATTCTCTTCTCCTTTTCTTTGCCCAACGAAGGATTTCTAGTAAGTTATGTGAAGCAATGTTGAAACAAATTCGAAGTTTTTCATCTGTTTTTAGTTTAAAATCTACTCTCACCATGAAAAGCTAACCGTAGACTTTTTGCACAAATACTTTATGGTATAAGTGATGCTCATATAAAACATGTATACATCTTGCTTCGTTCATGATTGCAGCTACTCTTCCACTCCTCTCCCTCTCCCCGTCCAACAGTATGTTAAGCATACAGACAGTCATATATTTTTCATCTATCGTGAATTTTGAGAATTATAGAATTTATTACAGCCACATATCGATGAATAATCATCAATGTTGGATTATGTGAACTTTGTTTTATTTAGGATAGTTGGTTAAACATACCTGCGGTACAATTTCTCCTAACATGACAATCATAATCGTTGGGATAACAAATTTCAATATGTCACCGTATGCAGTCTAAATACTATTGTTACTTCTTAAACGGAAAGAGCATGGTGGATCGATAAATATGTTATTATTTGTGCGAACTCTCCCTGTCGCTTACAGGTTCAACAAGCCAACTGATTCCAAGTGTGAAAATTGTATTCACAAGTATGTTCATGGCTGCCATTGTGCAAATAAGCCAGTTTGACTGTTTGCGATACTTGAATATTTTTCGAGCGTGTGTCTGCAAATAGGCAGTCTAATGCAATAATATAAACATATCTGAGAAACAGCTGTGACAGTCTTCACTTTGATGAAGAATTTCGGGTTTACTATAAACGAATGTGTTGAACATGGTATTCCTGCGCAAGATTGAGCATTTCTATCATTTCGTGTGTTACTTTATTGAGGGAAATGGGTAGAATAGTAAATCAAGAATTCGCTCGATTAGATTGCAAACAGCTCCCACAGCGTATTCTTCTAAACGTAGATTACCTTATGAGGTTCTTGACCATTTTCCATTATCAATGCCATATCATTAATGCTCATTCTCATGTAAGCAAAATTGGTGCCCGAACAATAGCCCGAAATGATAAGAGTAACGGTGCAGATGAGTACTATGGCCCATGTCGTTATAGGTAGTTCAGTTTGTTTTGCAGTCACTTGAAGCATCTGTAAATTATAGGTTGGCAGTATTTACTGATCAGTCAACTTATCTTTGTGCCGCAAATGGCAGATTTGATGAGTAGCCTTTGATTTCTACGTCTCGATGCTTTCGCTTCCTTGAAAGCGTGAAGGCCGCATCAGCTAGACGAGGTAGAGGAGAATAGGTCGTCAATAGGCTCTACCCCCGCGGACAACACGCACTGTGATGGAGAGAAGGGGCTCATTTGTTGCAGATGTCGGTGCAAGCTTTCCCCTTTTGGCTACCTAATGCTCTCTAACCGCCCACTTCGTTTCTATAACAATAGTTAAAAGATTCGATGCCTTCAGTACTATTTGTCGGCACGAGCCCAACGCATTCTACTTTATACAATATCTCTCGTAATTTGTAGAAAGAAGCGGCTGCGCCGCCTAACTTGGGCAACGGCCGCCGAAGTTAAACGGACCGAATTCAGGCGGCAAAGCTAGGCAGTGGGCCCCTGAGTTACACGGCCTTGACTTTATTCGGATTGTATGACTTCTATATCCAAGAGTACATTCGATTCAGCTCGGCGAGGCCATCTTCCATTCTAACGATGTTTCGTAACCTGTGGAAATTTTTTTATCCTCGCATTTTCCCGCTCTCGCAGGGTCTGCGTCCTGAATCAGAGGTTAACCTTGATGACGCTCTAGGGTATTCATCAGCTGCGTGTCACATGGCCTCTAATGAGGAGCCGCTTGGCGCTGGAATTGTTGGTATAGAGTGGCTTTCGCGGCGCGGCGCCCAGAATGGTATCGCACGTGTGACCTCGCCGACACGGGGCTGCTGGAACGGGAGACGCCGCTAGGCCATCCCCTTGGGGATATAGTGAGTACGTTAGTTTCACGAATTAGATTTTTGTTCGGATGGATCACTGAGGGCTTAAACATTCGCATTAAATTGCTATTGGTGGCACTTTGTGTGGATAGTGTAGGAGTACAGTAGAAGTCACTTCGCACGGATTCTTGAAAATCGCGCTCAAAGTGGCTATCTCATGCGCTGATTGCAACGATGCGCGAGTTGCAGCTGCATATGTGAGTACACACCGCGCTCGGAAAGCGACGACACCTCATTAGAACCTCGCCGATACATTTTCTGAAGAAATAAAGTGTGGAAACGTGTACTAGTACCCAAAACATCCAAAAGAGAGCTGAAAAATATATTAGGTCATTCCGAAAGTAATGTCACTTTTTTCAAACATATGCCACATCTCGTGGAAAAAAGGTGTGTAAGAGGTTCTGGTAGCATTTGATGCAGCATTTCATTCTCTTTCCAATGGTTATGAAGCTGTTGCAATACAGTCAATGAGCTTCCAGAAAAGAGTCAAAATCTGCGACCTATGCTTTTTGAGATGGCCAAGTTTCACAATTCTTCTAAAATTTTATAACAAACCTCAGAAGGAGTCCAAGTAATGGATGGATGGAGCAAACCCTACAGGAAACAGCACAACTTTTTTCTACTTTCCAGAGCTCGTCATAATTTTTGTACAGATTTTTTGATGGAACAACTGAATTTTAGCAGGCTCGTCTCAGACACAAGTGCATCAAACGCCAACAAGTCTCCGGATTTTGAAACTTACAAAGATGGATTATGGTTTGGCAACAATTTTACAAACCAAAAGAGCATTCACCGCTTCGGTTTAGCCACTTTCGAAAATTTCGGGTACACCTTGGGGTGCCTTAGAAAAGTTGAATTATGATGATTTTATCTCGGAAAACTTGATGAATCGGAAACAAAAAACGGACCGCTAGAAAGAGGAGAAAAGCTGCATCGAAAGGCACCCGAGTCGCTTGCCGGTTGTTGTTCTGTGAGGTTTGACTTAACTAAATTTGGAATTTAATGGCATTGAGAAATTGATTGTAGAAACTGTGAGAAGCAAGCTAAGGAAAAGAAAAATTACTCTGTGTTCTATAGTGTTTGCTCTATCTACCTGCCGCTTGTACTTTTTCGGAGATTAGGTACAAAAATTTAGAAAAATGGCCGAACTTGACCATGGCAAAAAGATGAGTCGCAGATTTTGGTAACCTTTCGAGAGCTCATTGAACATTATGCAGTGAAATTAGAAAAATGCTGCATCGAATGCTCCTAAGATCTCTTGAAAATGTTGATTCCACGAATAGTGGCGTTCATTCGAAAAAAGCGACATTACTTTCGGAACGACCTAATACAGTGCTGGCCAAAATTATAGGTCCACTCTAAAAAATGCCATAACTCATTCTGTTGTGAATGAAATTTTCCAAAATTTGGTAGATACGTGTGTTTTCCAGCCTACTATCAGTCTCCAAAACGGTCCTCGTTTTCGTTCGATTATTCAAGAAAAAATTGGAAATTTTGAAAAAAAGCAGGCTTGAAGGCTGGCCAAAATTATAGGTCCACCTGGAGTTTTTACTGATTAAAGCACTTCCTAGCTCCCGAATTTTTCTAGGTAGGCACACATCCAAAAACGTTAAACAGCTGCATTGGTCAAGTTGTGTCATACCTCCAAAAAGAACTGATTATCTGCTTTTTTACCTTGAAGATCCACTCACATGTATTTCGCTCCACAAACCTGCGTTGAGTAAGAAATTCTGCAGTTTCTCAGCTGGATCGGAAGGGGAAGGGTTTCACCTATCTTCTGGATGCTTTTTGACGTGAGCATTGAGTAAAAAATCCGACTTTTTGCTGCTGAAGCAGATCTGACATTGACAATACTGCAATCCTGAGCTTAAATTTCTGCCTTCAAACTTCTTTTACAATGTTCTCAGAAGCATTATGTAAAGTAAAGGCATTGTTTCTACGAAGGGAAGCCCACATTCCATGGTTACAACTTTCTAGAGATCCTAGCATTCGAGTGTAATTGCTGAAATCACCCTCAGAAACTGATTACGACAAGCATCAAAGCTATTTGTGGCTCCAACCAAAGTTTTCAGAAGAATCATGTGCTAACATACACTACAAGCTGTATCCACTACCTAGTAAATAATTACTGTCAAAAATCTAAGTGAGGTAGCACTTGGAAAGCTTTTTTGGATCGCGTAACACCATTATTACGTTGCACACACAACTCATGTTTCGAAAAAGAAGCAAGGCAGCTTTGTGGACACTTGCGAGTATGGCGAAATGCTTTATTCTTGTGCAAAAAATGCTTCTACAATATCTTGAGGTTATAATGACAATGCATAAAGAGTTTTAGGGCAGAAACTGAGGCTTACTCTGCCGATTAAGCCGATGTCAGATTTGCTTCGGCAACAAAAAGTCGAATTTTTTCCTCAATGCTCACGTCAAAAAGCATCCAGAAGATAGGTGAAACCTCTTCCCTTCCGATCCAGCTGAGAAACTGCAGAATTTCTTACTCAACGCAGGTTTGTGGAGCGAAATACATGTGAGTGCATCTTCAAGGCAAAAAAGCAGATAATCAGTTCTTTTTGAAGGTATGACACAGCTTGACCAATGCAGCTGTTTAACGTTCTTGGATGTGTGCCTATTTAAATAAATTCGGGAGCTAGGAAGTGCTTTAATCAGTAAAAACTCCAGGTGGACCTATAATTTTGGCCAGCCTTCAAGCCTGCTTTTTTCAAAATTTCTAATTTTTTCTTGAATAATCAAACAAAAACGAGAACCGTTTTGAAGACTAATAGTAGGCTGGTAAACACACGTCTCTACCAAATTTTGGGAAATTTCGTTCACAACAGAGTGAGTTATGGCATTTTTTAGAGTGGACCTATAATTTTGGCCAGCACTGTATTAAGTTGTCCGGAAGTTAATGTCCGTTTCAAATTTCAACCGCAGTAATTCATATATTTTTCATTCCTGAATAGGCTTCAAAGTACATTTCGATAGAGCAAAGCAAGCTCTACAAAATAGTGATCTTGCTTTAGCAACAGCTCTGATCCACCTCGAGTGATCCAAAAACTAAAATGATTCATCTGCCCGAAAAATCGAGAAAAATCATAACTCAGTTCATAAGAATCCTACAAAAATTCTAACTTGCTCACGCAAACACTATCCAGATAAGACTTACATGTACACTGTTGCCATATTTTTTCCTCTGTTAGACATCGAAAAAACGAAAATTTTCATGCTTTTGCCAAAATGATGCTGTGTCGTCCCTACGTAAGTAGATGTATACTACAAATCTGTAGAAGTACAAACATGGACTTTCAGCTTTCAAGCTTTAGTTGTAGAGAAATTGAATTTTAGCTTGGACCACATGACTAGGGAAAACTGTATTCGATAATTTTCGAGAACTAAAGCTTGTAAAGAGCTGAAAATTTACGTTTGTACTTACGCAAATTTGTAGTACACATCTAATTATGTGGGGACAACATAGCACCACTTTGGCAAAAGCATAAAAATCTTCGTTTTTTCGATGTCTAACAGAGGAAGAAATATGGCAACAGTGTACATATATGTCTTGGGCAGTTAAATCTTTCTAGTTTTTGGCTCGAAACTTGAGGTGGATCAGAGCTGTTGCTAAAGCAAGATCGATGTTGATTGATGTTGAGGCATTAGACCTCGGGCAGAGTTCACGCGATTTTATCGTCGCGATTCGTCGCGACAAGACAAGTGTTACGAGTTCATTGCATGCCGGTTTTCTTGTACTTCGGTTCTGAAAGTTAGTCTCGATCATTCATGAAGGAAAACGACCGAAATGCAAAAGGATCGGCCTCAATGATGTTGTTGCATTTGTCTTGTCGCGATTATCGCGACGATGAGCTCGCGTGAACTCTGCCCGAGGTCTTACGTGATTTAGCTGTATATACCTGTATATACTGACCACAACTTTTGTGTGGACATTTTCGTGATGGTATAACACAGCGCTGTACATAAAGAGCTTCTTAAGTGTGTTTCGGTAGAGCTGCGCCCATATGTCATCCTCAACAGAAAATTGTCTGTAGGCTCTTTTCCAAAACCGAGAGAATTGCTGGTGAATTTTGGAAACTTGTAAAGTCTATGAACTTATTGAGTTGAAAACTAAGTTTTGCTATCATCTGATAAATTTCCTCTTTCTCAACATGACTTTCAAATTTTGCCACTGTCAGGCTGTGACGTAAGCTACTAGCGCAGTTGCTGTTCTGCCAAATTCTGACAGAGGGTTAGGGTAGGTATATGGTATAAGGAAAAGAATTATAAAATTTGACGAGTTTTGACATGGCATAGGAAGGTTATGCGACATAGTGATCACATAAACGAAATGAAGTTGATAGGGGCTTTTTTGTAAGATTACTGTAGATTTACTATACAAGGTCTTACCCAAAGAAAGAGACGCTGATTTGACGAATGAATATGATATGTGTTTGGCGGGCCAAATAACCCCACTGTGCAAAGTCTCGGCAAATTTCGATGTTCCGACTCTTTGATCATTGGAGTTGTCCCAAGCAAACTTGGTACAACGCACTCACAACTTTGTGAGGGCTACAAATCTCAACATGCATCTGAATTTTTATTGCGAAGTTAATACGATTTTCTTAAGAAGTGAGTTCGAAAGCCTTTATGAAAGAAGTTTCAGGTCAATCCAAGATTATTACTATCAGCCAAAACTCGAGATTTTTTGGAATTTTCACAAAGATTATCCGACTTGCTGATCACGAAAATCACGTCTGGTTCGCAGATAACTTCTTATAGGGTCATGGTAAATAAATTTCAAGTGAATGTAGAATTCTCCAAAGCCGTTTTTTCGCCTTCACATCAAAGAATTTTTGGCGGCGCAAGTTTGTCAAAATCTTAGGAACGCACTATCAGATGGCGCCCATGATCTCTATCTTACAAAACATTGGGTTCTTACATAACTGTCCGCAAAGTATAACGGAGTATAATATAACGGAGTATAACGGAAGACTCTAAATGCAAGCGTAATTTGAGTCAAGCCTCAGAATTTCATGTCAATCAAAGTACTGATGCCAACACTGTAGACTTGTGATGTATATTAGGCTAAAAGCTAAGTTTTGCAACTTCTTTCAATCTTTACTCTCTTTGGAAATAGGGAGTGTGGAGCACAATGTATGCTACAAGCTGTAAACCGCACAAACTGTTTGAATTTTGAACACGTACTAGAGAAATTCCAGTCATTTTCTGAAAACTAGTGAATCTCGAGAATCTATCATAACTTATGATAACGGGCTAAGGATGTTTACGTGACTTTGTGTGTGTGTGTGTGTGTGTGTGTGTGTGTGTGTGTGTGTGTGTGTGTGTGTGTGTGTGTGTGTGTGTGTGTGTGTGTGTGTGTGTGTGTGTGTGTGTGTGTCTGTTACGAAATTCGTGGAGCGTGTTCCAGCCAGCGTTCTAAGCCCAAATTTTGTATAGCGCATGCTACCTTCATGAAAGTCCAACATGCAAAAGCACGGGTAGATTCGTTGAGTGGATCCCCCAGAAATTGAGCGCCAAATGAGTCCACCTGGCTTCTGTACCGCAAAATTCGGTCCGTATCACCACTTTTTGCAGAGTCGTGGATGAGTTTGGTAAGCAAATGTGCAAGCAATGGAGTTTAGCCAGAAAAGTGGTCGAAAGTTTACTACATGACGAAAACGGCGCCAAAACGAATTGGTTGTGTAAATGTTCAATTTGCCAAGGTTTTAGCTAAGCGTTTGAGAAGATTTTCGCACAGAGATGTAGCTCACGGTTATCATTACCTTTATGGCGACTACCAAGTCATGACAAATCCAAAAACCTATTCAAATTTGCGTTTGTCTTCCTGCGAAAAGTTTCATCCACGCGAAATTACCGACCTCACATGAAAAGACTTTCTAAATGAGTGGTTGTTTACATTTTATTCGTGGTAGTCGGCATAGCGCGGTGAGTTCCAGTGCCACGATTTTACAAGAATGAATAAGGCACATAGATAGTAGAGCCAGTGCGAACCTCTGCGAAGCAGAGGTGACGCACTGGTGGGGCTATAAGCTAACATTAAGTTACCGATTCGCAATCAACTTGACCGCTGTATGCATACCATTCTGTCCATAGAAGTTGCATTATCATGACAAATTTGAAAACTCGGGTATTTTTCTGATAAGGGAATGCCGTCGGGTACATGCAGACGGACTGCACTGCAAATAAAAATCAACTTTTTATGAGGTTTTTCCTTAGACCAACTTTTCAAAAACTGCATCCGTTGCCAGTAGTATAACCTTTTTGTCGAAAATATCCATTCTTCTGGAGTCCTGTAAAGCCCAAATTATAGGGTACACTGAATTTTATAACCTCACTAGATGGCAAACCCGGCTCCGCCCGGGGCCAAACTTTGCACACATACACTTCGGGGCAGGGAGCGTGTCATAGTCCACTTTTCGTTATCGATCGATGTCGATTTCACCGATTTTTTGCAAATTTTGAACTAGGGGGCTGGGATTTTGCACAGGGGGGTAATCGAACACGGGGGTGATCAGCATGTTCGATTACCCCCCTGTGCAAAATCCCAGCCCCCTAGCTCAAAATTTGCAAAAAATCGGTGAAATTGACATCGATCGATAACGAAAAGTGGACTATGACACGCTCCCTGCCCCGAAGTATATGTGTGCCAAGTTTGGTCCCGATCGGTTCAGAAATAAAAATTTCTATTTCGCACATACGTACAGACAGACAGACATACATACAGACAGACATTCAGCTTTATATATAAAATTCGAACTTAAATCAATCAACATCAGTATATCGCGGTGTTTAGAAAAAGTATTTTAAATGTTCGGCTTACCTCGCAGCGATCTGTTGTTGATAGAAAATAACCATTTGAAGGAAGATTTCTGCCAAAAACAGTAAGATATGTTTCTCTGTTGCCAACTATCTCAACTGGTTTGTGATGCTTACGAACTCCAAAAATTTTTGGTCTGTAATACAATTTTGATTGATGTATTTCCTCCATTTTGATCTCATGCTTGCTTGCAATGGCGTATATCTATCTCTTGGAATACATGCAAAGTAGTGATTATTGGATTTTTTTTACTTGGACCACACAGTTGGCCCAAGTACGCCAGTGGCATAGTCGTGATTGACGAGTACTTCAATTTCTTTTCAAGTGTTCTTGGTGCAGTAAATGTTTGCAGATTTCTAGCCGGCACTACTACTAACAAGGGACGTCTTTTTGGTCGAAGTAGCCTCTTCACATGAAATTGATACGACTATAAAGAGCATCGAGCAGACAGCGCCACGAGGACGCGAATTTAAGCGTAGAGGTCACCATCTTAACTTATGAGCCCCGAAATCCTAACGCGCAAAACTTCAGAAGCGTTTTGGCGGCGGAAAGCCAGAAAATGAATAGAAAAGATAAGTGCTTGGCCATTACACAAGAACTGGCTCCTTACCAGAGCCTCTGTGGCTTTTCCGGTAACAACAGGCCGAGACCAAGTTGCTAGTTTTGAAAAAAGGTTGTCAGTCGTTGGTATAATGTATCAGCATTGAAGTATGGAAGGGCAATGACCCGATCTTGTCATTTGTACTTTTTTGATTCGCTAACAGGTTGGACAGTTTGCTCGATCGTGACGAAGTTGCTAATTGGACAGTTTACATGGTCACAACTTTTTCAGACCCGAAGAAGACGATATAGCCGAAACATCGGTCAAATAAAGAGATATACCAATCTTGTGCAAGCTGAACAAATCACTGAAAGCCTATGTTTTGTTCTATGGTTGAGAATATATGTATGCAATAGCTCAATCGGTTCAACGGCACGCTTTTTTATAACGAACGCCTACCTCAAATATACTTATTATAGGGTGTCAATTTTATGTATGTGTATAGATTTCAAAAATCGTTGTTTACTTTGTCTCAAGTCATTGAAAAGTGTTCATTCACGAAGTAGCGAAATGGGCATCTCAGAAGCTCCAGAGAATCACTGTGCAAAAGTTCCCGGAAATTACATTCGCAGGCTGAAAACTACGGGTGCAGAAGTTTAGCGAACCACCTCTCGAGTGCAGAAGTTTAACATTATGGAGTTCCGCAGGTGATCTAGCAAAACTTCTCTCAGCGTCCTGCGGTACTTTCGCAGAAAAGATAGTTCAATAAAGCTCTTTATAGCTGCATAAAAATCGCAATCATTATGTTTTGAGGCGAAAAGCGGCCATCTTGGAAAACCAAGTGGAAAAAGTTCATTCTCTGACAGGTGAATTAAAGGCACCGTCTACTCAAATTGGAGGTAATAAGAATTTGATGTCATATAATGGAAGAGCCCCCAACTAAACCATCGCTCAAGTCTCGCTAAAAGATGAGTTCCGAAGCGAGAAAGCCGCTCCAGAAGGTGGAAGCTTCGTCCACCAACGTGAATGGGCTGAAGACAAAAACCTCTAAATCGGGCTTTGCTTTATCTAAGGTTGTCGTAAATTCGTCCGTGACTATGATTATCAGTTTCGACGTTTCTACCTACCGTGAAGCCTGATTTTGGGTTTTTTCCTTCAGACCACCCACGTTAGTGAGCGTCCCAAGTTGGCGCTTCTACCTCTTGAAGCGGTTGTCTCTCTTTGGAACATTTTTGCAGCGAGACTTAGGCAATAGCTTGACTAAGACCTCCTTTATCGTATGGCATCATTCTCATTATCCTCATTTTGAGTGGACGGAGCGTTCGAGAGCTTTACATCCATTTGTGCGCAACAAGTCAAAACTGTTTTTGTCCAGTTTTGACGAGTCCATCTTCAGAGTTAGGTTGGCGAACTCAGCAAGAACATTTAATTAGCAGAACAAACCGTCGCGCTCGTTGCATTCATCCATTTCAGATGGCGTAATTTTGAGATTTTTCCAGAAATTTCAAAAACGCCAAGGCCTTTCGTTTCAAATATAAGCGCGAATTCGACGCGATGCGATTGCCCACTTGCCATGATCCTCGTACACCACGCGCTGACTTTAGCGGCATGACGCTTATGTCTGTGTAAAAGAAAACAATTCACACATAGTATGAGATTGTTCTAACGGACTGACCATCTTTGCGGCTGTCGTGATGAGCGGCTAATACGTTGCAACACACGTGTACAAGGGCATTTCGTACTGAGAAGTCGTTTAAGCGCGTCAAAGGCTCCGCAGTGACGGGCAGTTTATGCGATTTTGGTTTTGTAATTAAATGATTTCTTGACAATCGTTGACGACCGTTTTCCTGGTTCAGTGTACACAGTAGCAACAAAGCTCTTTTGCATCTCAAAAGTAGCTGTGGGGCGTATGTATGTTTAAAGCAAGGCTGCTGTAGAGCTGATGTGCGGTGGATTCCTCGCACTGGGGCTTCACGCCTTGCTTTCTCTTTTGAAGCCAACTCTGGTACCTAACTAGGACGACGGGGTCAAGTATCAATATATTTGAGGGCATTTACGATATACTTATATACGGTGTGCCATATAGCGCGTCCCAGCTTTCGGTTGCCATTTGAGCCCAGCTTCCAGTACGGAAGCGCAAAATTCAAGTAATAGCGCAAAATTTGAGGACGATGCAGTTGTGCCATCTTACATCGAAGTGTACTCAAAATGAGCTGAATTAGACAATTATCTAGTTTGAAAATCAATTCTTAAAAAAGAACAACTTCTTTTAACCTAGCGAAGAAAAATGTTTTTTGTCACGCAGCCAAGCTACGCCTTTTTCTGCCGCAAAATCTCATGACGGCTTCGTCTACTACACTTGAAGGCGTCACCCGCAGCAGCACTCATGGCAAAGCTAGCATGGCATAAAAACCCACCCTTTTTCGCTGTCATTTGTATTCGTTGAAGCGATATATACCATACAGAAATGTAGCCCTAGAGTGAGGCCTTGCATTGGTAGCAGCACGTAAAAAATGAAACTTACAGAGAGTATGCAAGCAAACTCGCACGCGATATCATTCTTGAGTACCTCTTTGGCCATACTTTACACGTGTTACTCATGTTAACGGTGTGCCAGTGTTAGGCCCCGGGCAGACTTCACGCGATTTGATCGTCGCGACTGAGTCGCGACGAGACAACTGTTACAACATCATTCCATGCCGATCAACTTGCATTCGGTTGTGATACTTTTCCAGCCCGAAATTTTTGAATGTGAAATGAAAATGAATGGAAATCTTGGCGATTAGATCGCGACGATTAAGTCGCGTGAAGTCTGACCGGGGGCTTAGTCGTGTTACTTGTGTTACCAGTGTTACTAGTGTTATTCGTGTTACTAGTGACACCGGTGTTACCAGTTTACTAGTGTTACTCGTGCTACTAGTGTTACTTGTATCAATCACCAGTCAATAAGATTGTTTAGAATGAGACTGCATTTGTGATCATTTCACTACACAACAGCAACTCAGACAATTGCATCGGAAAGTTCGCGGCCTCAAAGCGTGCTACATGGCGCGCCGCGGCCCTTAAAATTTCAGCCGCGCACGCCGCGGCCCATGTATATTTTACCAGGAACGCCGCGGCCAAACTTAAAATTGGAAAGAGCTTATCGGGAGAGTCGCGGCCTAATCACCTCACTCGGCGTGCCGCGGGCCTTATCAAAGGTTGCACTTCTTACACGCTGTAGCTTAGGCGCAACCCGCGTGAGGTACGCCACAGCGATGGGGCCACCCTAAGTGTTTGTGGGGCTGGTAGTCGCTTCTCGAGTCGGGTTGTGTGACAGTTGAGTTTATATGCTCACGAAACAAACCTCAGCAATCGGTTGAGTATCATCGACGACGGTAGATGATGAGCTAACAAGTTGCTCAATTTGTGCTGTCGTTATCATGAAAGACAACATTTTTTCACTCTTCTTAGGCCTCACAAGTATGCTAATCGGGTCAACTGTCGGGCGCTTACAGGATGCGCCGCGGTCACTTATCGGGTCCAATATCGGTTTATACCGGGCAGCTCGCGGCATGGATGATTGGTGGCCGAGCAAGCACCCGCGAACTTCCCGATGCAATTGTCTGAGAATAAAAGCGATAACAGAGTAACACGAGTAACACTGGTTCACGGCTAACACGGGTAAAGTGGTAACGATGGTAAAACGGGTAACACTGGTAACACGGGTATCACTGGTAACACGGGTAACCTGGTAACACTGTAACACGGGTAACACCGATAGCACTGATAACACCGGCAACACGAGTAGCACGAGTAACATTGGTAACAACGATCACGGGTAGCACGGGTAAAGTATGATAAAGCCTGAGGTATGATTGGCTCCCAGATTCGTGTGGAGGCGGGTTGCGGACTTGATGATAAAGGCAAACTTACTGAACCTCCACGTTATATTGCTTTTCGTACTCTATCGCTATCAAATTCGCCACGTTTGGGTTGGCAAAACTCCACTTCGACACGAATTTGAAAGCCAACGATAGATACATTCCATCTTTGAAAAGCTGGTGACCTGCGCCTCGCTCGGATCTGAACTTGATCGAGGACGAGATGCGGAAAACACTTTGAAACTCGCTTCTTCCCTTTGAAGGCATCGTCAGAAAAATCTGACGCAAGGAACCTTTTCTCGGAACCTTGGATCCTAATTAATAAGGGAAGTCAGGTTACTTAGGTGGAATCATCATTCGAAGCTGATTCCGAATATATGTGTCCCATCTCAAAACGCGAATCTGAATTACCTCACTTCCCTTGTGAGGCACTCAACAAGCGCCAGTGCAAGCGCATTCCCAGATCCTTTGTTGGTACAACAGCGGCAATTTGCATCGGCTTGTATGCCTTCGTGCGGGGCGTATCACGAGGGCTGCGGGTTTCTGCGCGCGAAGCAAGCCCAGTCCGATAAGTAGAGGCAGAGATGAGTTCAATGAGTGGGGATGAATGGGTTCGCTCCCGCTTATACAGTTTTTTTTAAATTGAGGGACACAATCAGTCTCCACGTAAAAGTCCCGCTTGATTCGCCCCTATAGGCATAAAGGAGAGCTCCGGGCTCCCTCTTTCATCTTCGCCAAATGCGGCTAACTTTTACTGAAACCTGATAACATTGCAGAACTCCTTTTTCACTGAACAAAAAATTTGGTAAAAACCTTTCAATCGAAATTCTCTTGTTTGTTTGGTCCAGTTATTTCTACGGTGTTCTCCTTGCTTTATAGATCTTGGCTTTGTCTCCAGCAAAGACAACCTAACTTACTTTGTCGATCGTGGCGCAATATTCAGAGTAAAGCTGCAAAATAGCATTTCTTTAGTCCTTTTTTAAGGTGTGCTCGCAAACATCTCATCTTTATAAGGCGAGTTATAAGTTTATCTAATAGTTGAAACTGAAACAACAACACAGCTTCTAAAATTTGAAGAGCGCAGCAAAAATTGGATTGAATGTGCATTTTTGCTTCAAAGAAGCAAAGCTCTTCATTGCTGCGACTAAATTTTTAACGGTTCATCTTGTCTCTATCGATTGCCACCAAACTGTGATTCTTTTAAGACCATCAAAGAATTGGAAGATGATATACCGCTTGCTACAATTGTATCTGGAACAACGGAGAAAAGGATACCAGAGCCAAATGCCCCGTGGATCATGTGGGGTGTAGCGAGACAGTGCACGACAGCTGCAAGCGCTGACGAGCTAGAAAAGCAGAGTTGAGTGCATTTGCTTCTGCTCGAGCATCTTTGCGAATTCTTAAACAAGCTCGAAACATTACAAATCTTCTTCGTCATGAGTCGACTAGTAGCGATGGTAACGTCGGCGACGATAAAACTCGCTCCTTGACAACTTTAAGAAAATTGCGCTACTCCTGCGTAGAGTTTGAGCGCGGTCTCTGGGTTTTATTGGAATCCAGCGGTCTTCATAAGTTTTTGAAATTCATTCGTAGCTTATGAAGAAATTAATTCCGTAATGCTCTTGCCGTTTTCGATCTCACATCTTGTTTTCAGTACGAAAAGGTTATAAAAACGCAATTCTTGATTGTTGTTTCTAATATTTTACCAAGTTACTAAGCTAGCTCCATTCACAGTCATTCTGATTTAGTGAGCTTATCATTCGGTGCCCTGAATGTTTTTTTTTTCAGGTGTAGCCTTATGTAATCCTTTTGTCTCTCGGAGGGAAACTTAGCAGGACAAGCAGCTGTTTCAACTGAGGGTGTGATACAAACACAGAGTCTGTTTTCAACATTTGATAACAACCAGGACGCCAACTAGTATATGAATGTTTTCAGGTATCACGAACAGCCTAATATCAAAGAGTAAAAGGGTAAAGGGTTTGACGCCTAGAAGCTATTGCGGGGCCAACCGATTAGCAATTGCTTTCATCTTTCCAGATTAATCTGTGGCCGTATTCGTCATTGATACCTTGAGGTAAATTCTACCTCCAGGTAGTTTTATCACTCATTATCAGCAGGTACCCGTAATCACAAAGTACCTTGAGGTAAATTTAAATTCTCAATGTAATCTTGCTTGGGTTGTACCCATGCGGTGAAGATAGAGCATTTGAAAAGATAAATTACAAAAACATCGCTCTTACAAACTCTGAAGAAGGCAGAGACGCCGGTAAGTCTAATAAAGCTGTTAACAATTTTGGCCTCAGCTGCAATAACATCTACTAAAATCCCCTTACGCCAAGGATTTTTATTCCTAAAATCGACCAGCCCAAACACGCTGAAGGTCTTCGCGACTATGGGACACTAAACCTGCTGCGTATTTCCTAAGAGAATGGTGCGACATAACTTCCGTTTTCCGCAGTGAAGAGGCTGAGCGGCTCGCTTGAAAAATCGAAAAATGTCCGCCTTGTACGCATGAAGTTGAAGTAAGCCAGGGATCGCACGTAGTATGTATTGCGCACCGCGCAAGAAAAGTGTGGAATAGCATGAAGAAGATACTGCCTTTATTATGATAATTCTGATATCTCCTTCTTTGGGTATTAATGAACCTATTTCCATTTGGTAACATTCACTTCTCTGTTCTGTGCTGTTTCGAATAAACGATTTCTCTACCGTCTTCATCAATGTCGGTTATGTATCCAACAGTATAGGATATTGCCAATCATAATTTCAATACAAATCTTCTTGTCTTGCATTGCATCATGTAGTGTCGTATTCACAAGGGCGTTTCCATCAGAAATGCTGCAGAGGACAGAGATTGGATCACGTCTAATGAATGTTCTCATTTGGCTCTCGGCAAGAGCAGATATATTGCTAGCTGACACTTCTTCCTTTATGACTAGCACTTCTGATGCTATCTTGTGCATTTCTGCTGCAGCGAATACCTAGAAATAAATTTTGAAATTTTTTTTAGTTAAATTTTTGCCTCAGAGGACGAAGAAGTCTTGCGACAGCTCATTGAAGGAAAACCTAGCAATCTCGGAGAAGTTTACTCTTTTGCGCAGTCTTAGTAGTAACATCGAATTTCGAGATTAATCGGCCATACAGAATTGTTCTAACAAAAGCTTTTATGGGAGAAGAAAGGCAGAGAACTCAGCTTATTATCTGTGTGTGTTGTGTTTTTTTTTGATTTGGAGTTGCAGAAAAGCACAAATTACGTAATGCTTTTCTGCCTATATATGAGTACATCAGCTAGTTCCCACATGCTTCCTTCAGAAAGCACTTCTAGGGAATGAAGGCGTTTTCTGGTTTCTTTTCTTATCTTCAAAGACCACTGATACTCTAAGAAGAACAGACAAGAAGTTAAAAGCGCGAAGAGCAGTGTGCGTAGTGATTTGTTTTCACTTTGAAAAATTGTCTAAATTCTCCCAACAATTTGAATAAGCTTTGTAAAAAGCACTTTTTGGGGCGTGGCTACCTCCACCCTGTCTCTGGTGTTTTAGGGTTGAAAGTGCAGCAAAAACCTGACAGGCGTCTCAGAGCCATTTCGCAAGGAGTGGCT